AGAAGTTAACATAGCAAAAATGAAATCTCAAAATGTCAGCACCTTAAAGATCTCCACCTCCAAAACATAGACATCTTAGCAGAATTTGTTAGCTACGGTTTAAAAACGATCTTTGTGATGACCGGTTGTCACGGATAAGAAAGAATTTTTTTGCCTTTGTTAAAAAACTGTTATACTGTGTTATACTTTTTTCAAAATTATAAAAGGAGGAGCGTGGCAAAAAACATTCAAAAACTACACGTTAAAAGCTTTCAGCTTAATACCTTTGGAAAACTGGACACACATTGCTTAAAAGTAAAACTCACAAAGTATCAGCATGAGTTACTTTTTATAATGCTTTAAAATCTGAAAGCAGTGAATTAAAGGAAACAGCAGTTGATCGTTGTTTTTTTTGAACGATAATGTGTTTGATTTCTCATGACTGCATGTACGCTGTGAATTTGGATAAGACCTGATTTTGTCTGATATTCACAGCAATACCATTATTTGACAAGGTCATGGATAAAAAACTAATTTAAAATTAAATTTAAAAAAGTCGATAATATTGATTAAAAAACAAAGTTTATGTCGGCTGATGAGATTCACGAATTGCTAGATACCCCAGACGAGAAAGTTGCCAATTTTGTTTTGAAGGGAAGTAAGCAACTGATTTGAGAACAAAAGGTCTAGATAGGCTTGGATCTTGGGAATTTTTGGTTCATCTTTTACTTCTTATTTTCACCATTCCTGCGCTGGAAGATTTTTAAAATTATCGTTTATTCTCTTATGCTTCATGCTGCATGAGATTATTTACTTTTTCTTTTTTTTATGCCAACTTCCTTTACCGATTAACAATCACCTATGTCAATTTTTCAAACTGTGCAATTCGTAATTAGGACTAATTTTTGATTCAGATGAGAAGCACAAAACCGTATCTTACTCTAAATGCAAGTTTGTTACATGGTTTTTAAAGCTGCTCTTGCTTTCCTCTACGAATTGGAGTCTTTTACCTTTTTTTAAATATTATTTTCATTTTATTTTATTTTTTTGCAGTAATTACTTTCGGATCAGGTTTCCAGAAAAAACTATGGTTCAAAAGACATCAGTTGATTGAAAGCGAAATTGGGATAATAATCTGCAGTTACTGACAACCTTTTCTATAAACAGTCACTCAGTACTTTCTTATAACAGTTCTGCTCGATTAATCAGCACGGAAAAGCAAAACTGGTTAATTTTAAAGTTACAAGACTTTGTTATATTTCCGGAACTTTTTTGAATATGATTTTGACTTCAACGAAACGATGGAATAATATCTCCTTCATTAGCTTTCCTTCCTGTGACGAGTTCAACAACAGTAATTCAGTGGAGAAATCCAGCAATTACTTTTCTTCTGATTCTGTGATTTGGGTACAGAAATGGTTAACTCAAAAAATTATCTTAGAGTTATTCTTCGCTTGACTTCTACTGTTCTTTGCCAATCACCACTTTCTTCCCAATCATTTCACAAACGGCTTTCAGTTAGCACCCCACTTTGCATACCATCCTTATTCTTTTAACTATTCCAAGCCACACT